TATTTATAATTATTGATTTGACTTATGTCTATTATCATCCTTCAGGAGGGGTGAGGTGTGGGCTGACCTGGTGATGTTCTTAGTGGTTCCCGTTGAGAATACTTGTACAGCACATAAATGAAACTGATGATTGAAGGAAATCTGACCTATGAATGCTCTTAGTCCTCCAGCAGCAATATGACAATTGAGGTGCCCCTGCTCCTGGTGAACAACCTCATTTAGCAGAGTGGGAGGGGGAGCTGGAGGAAGGCGGGGTGACTACGTCTTCGCTCATGGTGCTTCTTCGTTTGACAGGACGCTCTCCATCTGCTGGCGCCTGGAAGAGGGATGATGACCGGCCGCAGTGACATCACTCTGTAATATGCTGTAGGCTTTTAGGGAGAGTTGCGTAGTTGGAGATGATGCTTATTGAGGAAAAAACAGCAAGTAAGGAGACAAAAGCGTTGAATATTTGGGACGGTGACATTGTGATAGGGTAGATCTAAGGTGACTTTGATTTTGTTCTATCATTTAGATGTCTCAAGAGGAGAGCGGCCATATTGACTTCTTCATGACATATGGTAACTGACAGAAATAGTGTTTAATATTAGCAGATGAAGTGTTGCAGAAGTGTGTAGGCAATACAGAGCAACACAACGCATGCAGGCAAATTTCTGTGCGTCAAATGCCAAGGTTGATAATTAATTCATGGTATGTTTCATAAAGGGACTGTTTCTGAGAAATGTTCAAGGATGAGCGATGCCAGTTGTTTTCATGTGCCTCTCGTTTCCGTGGGAACACAGACAATGACAAGAAATCCTTGGTGACCTGATTGGCAATGTTGAGTACCTTTTGCCTCCACCAGCGCCTCGCGAAACACCTCTCATCTCATTTCTTTCTTCTCTTTTTTACGCATTTTATGCTTTAACGTGCAAATTAAGCACAGGGGATCTACTTTGCTGCTGCTTACAGAGGATAGCACTGCACATTAGGACTAAGGCTAATTTAAATGACTATAACATGTTGCATGGAGAAGACCACAAGCATATTAAATGATAAATACAAACAAAATGTGGATTCAGAAAGACATCCTTAAACCGAGACAGTGCTTACGTGGTAACAATACAGCTTCTATGACAACTGATAAATGAACCCTCTGCAGACCAAGGCCATCAGGTGTGGCTGAAAACTCTTGAAAAAAGAGCAAGTGGACCTTTTGATATCCGCCCAGGCACAATAAACAGTATTTTAGGAATTACAGCATTATAAAAGCTGATTTCATCCAATCCATCTTTAACCACTCATTATTTTATCATAAAATCTATTTCTTCCACTGTAATCTTTTACAGTACTGCAGGTTGAAAACTCAGACATTTATAAAATGTTAACCATCTTGACTAACCAACTGGACCCTCACCTTTTGCACTCAACCAGCTGTTGTTTTTAGTTTAAATGTTTTGTTTAAGACAGAGAGTATGACAAGTCAATGTGTAGATCATTCACTATAGCTATGATATGTACTATGCAGCAGTGGCCGTACAGTAAATCTTTCTCATCTGCTTTAAAGAAAGACATGCTTGTCACAAAACAACACCATCATCTCTTCGGGGAGCAGACTCATTAAAGATTCCTTAGAAGACTGTACGTTAATGGCTATGCTGATGGTTAGAAATGTGAAACAAGGAGAGTGTCTTTCATTGGAAGTAGAGCAAATTCATGGATATAAATCCTTACGGATACAGCACTTCTTTTAAGTAAACACTTTGAATTAAAGTTCTGTTTAGAGACCGTTGCATACAAAATGAATTCAGTATGCATTCAGGATGGGAAAACATTCTGAAATACAGTTCATAAAGCATAAAATGAGTACAAATATAAATACTTTGATCATCCTTAAGAGACATATTGTACGAAGGATTACTCAAAAGGAAAAACAACAAGCTTGAGTGTCAATTCAGTGTTGGAAGTTCTAAACATAGCTGTATGGAAATGCACTTTCATCTCCAAATGCATCATCAGCCCTGGGATCACTACCTTAAAAAAATGTACCAAGACCCCCCCATAAAAATAAATCAAAGGTCCGACATGCATGAGAAGTACAGATCAAAGAAACTGGTAAATAAGTATTTTGGCATTGAATCTTTATTTAAAAACACACTAAAATACTGATGGTACACGTGCTGAAGGTCTGTCATTTGTCCACAGATTCTGCAGATCAGCTTAACCGTTGTGTGACTGTAGGATTGTCCGTACAGTCTTCTGCTGCTTCGTCTTCAAGGACGCCTGCGCCGTCATCTGTCGGCGTCAGAGTGAAATAGCTTGTGTGTTGAAATTTGAGCACTTCGTTACCCCAGCTGGTCCATCCAGGTTGAAGACTTCTGGCAAACAACTCCAAACACTTGGCTTCAGCTCCAAGGTGGGGCTTCAACACCTCTACAGAGAGAAATGAGGAAGAGGAATTAATGTGGCATGTTTGAATAAACTCGGGTGCAAACATAAGTAGATTTTTAGTATTTATAAAACAGTAAGCAACCCCCCCAAAAAAGAGTTATGCCTTTGGTTTGCTAATTCATGGCTAAAAACAAGATTTAAGTAGCTCTTAAAAGAATAAATATGTGTTCACTACTGTCAAGTTAAACTTTAAATAAAACACAGTTTTCATTAAGGACATGCATGTGATCAACAGAAGATGCTGAAGATAGGCAGGCCCTAATCTTTCCACAAAAAATTCACATTGTGTGTGTATCCGGAGGATCAAAAAGGATAAGGCAGATGCTATTTACACCCAGGTGTCCGTAGCTAACAGTGCTATTTACACCCGGGTGTCCGTAGCTAACAATGCTATTTGCACCCGGGTGTCCATAGCTAACATTGCTATTTACACCCGGGTGTCCATAGCTAACAATGCTATTTACACCCGGGTGTCCATAGCTAACAATGCTATTTACACCCGGGTGTCCGTAGCTAACATTGCTATTTACACCCGGGTGTCCATAGCTAACAATAGACGCATTCACACCGCAGTACTTTTCCCACAAAGGTTCATGAGAATTTAGTTCTGATGAACTAAGTACAGATCGCGTTCACACCGGAATAAATCCCTGGGGGTGGATTAGGCAAATGAAGCCGCTGACGTCACTTCTTCTTCTTCTGCTGCTTTGGGTTTACTGGCAGGCCGCAAACAACTTCACGGCGTATACTGCCGCCCAAAATCCCCGGCCGGAAGTCCCCGGAGTTGGGGACTGGCTTCAGTAGAAGCTGCTGGGACTCCCAGCAGCTTCTACTGAAGCCTTCCGAGTAAATCGCCAGAACGCCGACACCTCTTCATCTCCACCGCTCCCATGTTTTATTTTGTGTTGCCATAAATTAGTCTCTCTGCGTTTCTGCGCTGGGCTAATGCTAATAATGCTAATGCGAGGATAATAAAATGGTGGCTTCACAACACTTTTTTTGAGTTTTACTGGGCGTGGTTTGCAATCCGCCCAGCCAAGCAGAAATATAGCAATTTTCTCACAAGAGAGCCGCATGAGAGTCCCTACTCTCTAGCGGGGACGGAAAGGGGGTAAAAAGGTTCTCATGAACTCAATTTTAGTTCCGGCTCTTTTTGGTGTGAACGCGACATTTCGGAACTATATCGGAACTAAAGTGGGAAAAGTACTCCGGTGTGAACACGGCTAAAGAGGACACAAACTTAACTTTTTTGTGTTTTTTTGTTGCATATGTTGTCCGTCTAATGGCTGGTTGTGTGTATTTGCAGGATTCCTCCCAACATCAGGGACATCGTGTACTGCACCGGGGTCAGCCTGATGGACGAGGACGTC